ATATTTTAATATTAATTATTAGTTAAAATATCCAACATTCTCCTACTTATTTTAACAAAAAATAACTTACTTGGACAACCATCACAAGATACCATGCATAGTAGAGGTGACTCCGCCTTGAAACATCTAATTAGTGTTTTATTTTACCACAACTAGAATGATGCACAACAACTACAAGAATTATTTAAGTAATTTAAATAAAAAAAAATATAGTGGTAAGGAATAAGAATTGTTATGTAATATAAATTGCTATTTAGGATATTATCAAAAAGTGTTATTACTCCGTATTATTTTTTTGTTATCAACAAGAATAACAAGAATTGTACTTTTTAATTGAGAACAAAAATATGAATAATACTTCATATTACAAGTACTAAAATATTATTACTCCTTCCATCCCATATTACTTGTATTTTAAAATTAGACATTGAGATACATCTTATGGTATATCACATGAATATGTTTATTGTACTTTTTTTATGTTTTTTTTTTTTTTACTTACAATGGTTATGTTGCGTACATTTTCTAATAAACAGATAATGAAATACTACTATAAAACTATGCTTAGTACGGGTTCTGAACTAGTTACTTCATACTCACTTCGTCCCAGAATACTTGACATAGTTCCCATTTTCATCCGTCCCAAAATACTTGATACATCACTAAATATGGAATGGAATCACTAATAAATATTTTCATATACTCTCTTTGGGACCACGAACCCCAAAACCTAATTAAATCCTATATTTTGTGTCTCCTCACTAACCCCCATCTCCCCCACTTTTTGTTTTCTTACAATATAAAAATACAAAATAGAATCCTTTATACAATAAACAAATGTTTTAAATGGATCCACTTGTACTTTTCTTAAAATACGTGTCCACCACAACGTCCTAAGTATTATGGGACGAAGGGAGTAATATTCTTTCTCTTTGAAGCTTTTTCACGTTTGTGCTGGCCCCGTCTCTCTCTCCCCCATTAAACGTAGGTCCTGTTCACTTCACCTTATTTTTATTGAACTGAAATTATTTTTACTGAACTAAAATTATTTTTGCTGAACTTAAATTATTTTTACTGAACTGAAATTAATTTTACTGAACTAGAATTATATTTACAGATTCTTTATTATACTTCTTCTTTAAAGTTGTTTAGGGTAAAAATTACCCCATCGCGTAGTCCAATCCTATAGTGACATGTGGTCTAATAAAAGGGCGACACGTGGCAAAACAAAGGAACCCCTAAAAGAGAGAAGGCCTCCTTACATCAGGAGGCCCAAATCCCGAGAAAGGCGTCATGATAGCGCTTCCAAAGGACACGTGTCCTACTCTGATTGCGCCGCCAATCAAATCACTCCTTTTTAGGGCACCAACCCTAGAGTGCACACATTCCAACCCCTATAAATACCCCAATCATTTATGATGGGAGGGGTGGATAGAGACATATCATTTATTGCATAAGCAAATTGCTCTAACTTCTCTCTCTAAATTACTTTCGTTTTTCGATCACTAACTTGATTGTCGGAGGCAAATATTCAGTCAAACAAATTTTTTTTGTTTTGTAGGTGTCTGCGGCTGTCCGGCTATAGTCAAGACCTGTATCCCGAGGGATTTCAAAAAATCACGAAACATTTGCTTCGTCAGTGGGGATACACGTCTGAAATGGCTAAAGATGGTCAAACACTCGATCCTGGTCAGGACGGACATGTAGAGAATATTGAGGTTACTATCAACAACAACGATCCTCTGACCGCCTCATTCCATGAGGCCAAGGATCCTCCTGTGATGGCCGGCTCTTTGCAAGCTGCTTTGGCCAAGCTCCGTAAGGAGTTTAAGGGCAGGATACCCTTTTCCTCAAGGCAACCGCCCAGGAAAGAAGGAGAGGGTACCAAAAAGAAGCCCCACGCCAAGGCGGCCAATATTGAAGATGCAAGAGTTACTCCGTTCAGGAGGCAGCCGAGGTCCCCTAGGGTACCTCAGACGAATTGGTCGAGGCTTCTTGAGAAATCGAAGTCGACTGGGGGCAGATGAGGCTGCTTCTATGACAGCCAAACGAGCCATCCCAGCGCTTCAAGGATGCTAGAGACTACCTTCGGAACAAACGCCAGGAGTGGGCATAGTCCTACTACACAGACACTGCTTCCACTCCTACCATGCCGGATGAAATGTCAAACCATACCCTCTCCAAGCATACTAGCTCAGTCAGAACCAGCAGAAGTTAAGCTCATTGTACTTTAACTCCAGTTCCTTTATCTCAACTAGCTCAGTTTCAAATGCCCCATAATTATGGTGCAATTCTGCCACCTACTCCCCTAGTGTACGAGCAGTACGAGCAATATGTCCAACCGTACGACCAGGCAGCTTACCGGCCGCTCAACCTCAGCCTATTGATTAGCAAATGCGCTTGATGACTCTAGGTGACAAGTCGATTCCATTTTCTCAAGAAATTCTCAACTCTCCCCATCCAGCTAAAGTGAAGAGTGTACTTGTGGGTTCTTATGATGGTACGGGCAACCTAGAAGAACATATTTCCTCGTACAAGAATTTGATGTACTTGCAAAGTATGGATGATGTCACTTGGTGAAAATGCTTCTCGACCACCCTTAAGGGTGTGGCTCAAGACTGGTTCAACAGTCCGCCGGCCGGATGCATCAATTGTTTTACAACTCTCAGCTTGTTGTTCGTTAGAAACTTCTCCTACAATATACCACCCCTAAAGACTAGTCTTAACTTTGCGACCATCGTCCAAGGGAAGAAAGAGGGGTTGTGTTCGTACGTTCAAAGGTTTAGCATGGAGAAAGCACAAATTCAGAACCTGCTGGATGAAATGGACTACTCATAGTTTCTTCGAGGATTAAGGCATAATGGTTTCAAGTTTGACTTGATCAGAAAGAAGATTCGAACATACGCAGGTGTTCTGCGGGATGCCGAATCATATATAGAGGCAGTTGATTTCTATTCGCTTACAAAAGCAGAAGAGCCGACCAAGGGCGCCGAGAAGAAACCCTCTTCTCATCGAGACTCGGCCGGCAAAAAGAGGGAAGGAGGTAACAAAAGAAAAGAAGTCTGGGTCGCTGATTGCCAACAGACCAAGTTAAAGAAAGCCAAGACGTACGAACCACAGTATGAATACAATAAATATTGTTACTCAATTTTGATGGAAATCAAGAATAAGTTTGAATTTGATAATCCCCAACCTCTGAGGGGGCCAGCCCAGTATCGGAACAAGAACAAGTACTGCCATTACCTCAATTATGTGGGGCATGATACGAACGAATGCAATAACCTGAAAGGTTTGTTGGATAAGCTGGCCGAAAAGGGCATCCTCAACTCATACGTTCTGAAGTCAAAGTTCACCAACTCTCAGATGGAAACAAGTCCAAGAAGAAGGAAAAGAAAAAAGATAATGAAGATGGGAATAACACAGACTCAAGGTTTGTGGCCGTCATTTCAAGTGGCTTCGCTACTGGCGGCCCGACCATGAAGGGTATCAAGCAGGATGCTAGGCAATTGGGGAAGGTGATGCATACACTACAAGAAAACAGCCCATTTCAAACGGACTGGTTCCGACGGACACCTAATTCCGTCGGAAAATTCAAAATTTCCGACGGATTTTTTTTCCGTCGTATATTTCCGACGAATTCAAGCAATTCGTCGGGAATTTTCGACGGAATATAAATCTGTTGGAATATTTGTATTTCCCAACGGAATATTCAGTCGGAAAAGGTCATTTCCGACGGAAAAATATTCAGTCGGAAATTTCCGACGGATTTTCCGTCAGAATATAACTTAAAAAAAAAAAGAAGAAAAAATGAAATTTCTTTACCAAACCCTAACCCTAACCCTTTTCTCTTCCGCCCCTTTTCTTTTTTCCCTCTCTTCTCTTTCTCTCTCCCGCGCCCCTCCTTTCCTCTCTCCTCCTGGTCGCCTCTTTTCTTCTCCTTCTTCCTCTGTTTTCTTCTCCTTCTTTCCTCTCTTCTCTGTCCGCCTCTTTCTTCTCCTTCTTTCCTCTATTTTCTTCTCCTTTTTTCTTCTCTTCTTTGTCCGCCTCTTTCTTCTCTCCTCTTCTTTCCCCTCTTTCTTCTATCCATGACCAACACCATCGCCATCGCCATCACCAACACCATCACCAACAACCAACAACAACAACAACGGAGACCACAACAACAGTGCAACAACAACGACGACCACAACAACATTGACAAAGCGCAACAACATCAATTGCACAACCACCGTCGCTAGAATCGTCAACCGCACAAGTATTGTAGATCTAGTTTTATTTTTTTTATAAATTTCTGATTATGGTTAATTTTTGAAGTAATTGTAATATTAGGTTATAAATTGTATGAGATAATTGTATATTTATCTAATTCCTTAAATTTTTTGTGGTTGATTTTATTTTATTTTTACTGAAATTCGGAATGTTAGATCTTGTTTCGCTTTTTTTGGGATAATTGTCGTTATTTTCGTGGTTAATTTTCGATCTACATGTTTTTCATTATTAGATCTACCTGTTTTGGTGGTTAATTTTATTTTCAATTTTTTTTTTTTTTTTTTTTTTTTTTTTTTTTTTTTTTTGTGGTGAACGGTGGTCATGGGGTGGGGTTTGGGCTGGTGGTGGTCATTGTTTGGGGTTGGGGCTGGTGGAGTGGTAGCGCTTAAGGGGGAGGTGAGGCCGTGGGGGTGGTGATGGTGTGGGGTGGGGGGCTTTTTTTTTTTCTAGGTTTGATTTTCCGACGAACTTTTTCGGTGCCGGAACTCCTCTTCCGACGGAACAATTTTGACCGAAATTCCGTCGGAAAAGGTCGTTTTTCCTACAAAAGGTTTTCCGACAACCCCTTCTGACGGAAATTCCGTCGGAAACAGGTTTTCCGACGGAATTTTTTCGTCAAAAATGGCCTGTTTTCTAGTAGTGATACGGAGGAGTTCAAGGCTGAGCCATTCCCAGAGGTGACTGTCTGCGAGGCGGATAGAGGCAAAATCAAAGCCCCCTATAATGACCCTATGGTGTTCATCCTCAAGGTTGTCAATCTGAAGGTTGGACGAGTATTGATTGATACTGGCAGCTCGTCCGACATAATCAGCCTAGCTTGTTTGAAAATTTTGAAGTTTCCCGAAGATGCTATGAAGGATATCTCTCACCCGTTAGTTGGGTTTGGTGGGAGCATTATCCAGCCCGTTGGACGAATAGACTTGCCTGTCCGATTTAGACAAAAGGGAGAAGGAAGGAACATGGTCGTCCACTTCATGGTCGTTAAAGAGCTCACTGGCTATAATGTCATCATCGGTCGTCCAACCTTGAACTTAGCAAAGGTTGTAATTTTCCATCACTTAATGTTGATGAAGTTTAAGCGGTCGGAGGGGAAGATAGGTTCAATTCAGGGGAACCAAATAATGGCAAAAGAGTGTAATCAGCGGGCCATGAAGCCAACTTCACTCGAACATGGCAAGGCGTCTGAGCAAAACTCAGAAGGAGGGTCACTCCAAGCAATGCAGGTCAGCGAAAAGCTCAAGTCATTCAAGAAAGAGCAGGCATAGCAATCAATGACCGTCGGCCGGCCAGAAGAGCTAAGGCCGCAGCCAGCCGGCGATCATACGGACATAGTGTTGGACCCTAATCGTATGGTCAAGGTCGGCACTATGGCCATAGACATGCTTAGAGATGACTTAGTAAATCTGTTAAGAGAATTCAAAGATGTATTTGCGTTCGAAGTTCATGAGAAGCCGGTATAAGCCCAGATCTGGCCGTAGACAAGATAACAGTGAATTCGGCTATGAAGCCTATCCGGCAGAAGAAAAGAAACCATGGTGAAGAGAGGAATCAGGCGGCCGAGGCCGAAGTAAAGAATTTGTTAGACACAGGTTTTATTCGGCAATGTTATTATCCTGATTAGGTGACCAACGTAGTTTTGGTCAAAAAGCTGAATGGAACTTGGAGGATGTATGTTGATTACACTGATCTTAACAAGGCATGTCCCAAGTATAGCTTTTTCTTGCCTAAAATCGACCGCCTGGTTGATTCAATGGTTGGACATGCCTTGATGAGTTTTATGAATGCCTATTCTAGATTCACCAAATCCCTTTGTGGGAAGAAGATCAAGAGAAAACACCATTTGTGACCGAGCAAGGGTTGTATTGTTACAAAGTCATGTCGTTCGGCCTGAAGAATGCCCCAACCTCATTTCAGAGACTTATGAATATAGTCTTTAGAGAACAGATCGGCCGGAACATGGAGGCATATAAATCAAAGAAGTCGGTCGATCATCTGAGTGACCTCCGAGAAACAATTGTCGAACTTAGGCGGCATAAGATGATGTTAAATCCGAAGAAGTGTGTCTTTGGTGTTGAGTCCGGCAAATTTCTCGGATTTTTGATTGATCAGCGCGGTATTGAGGCCAACCCTAAGAAGATCCAAGTGGTGTTAGACATGAAATCACTGAGAACCATAAAAAAAAGTTCTGACCGGCTGCTTAGCCGCTCTAAGACGGTTTCTGTCAAGATCAGGGGATAAGTGTCGCAATTTTTTTCAAACCATCAAGAAAAAAACAATGTTCGAGTGGACCGAAGAGGCCGAGGAAGCCTTTATTCAACTGAAGAATCACTTGTATACACTCCCTCGGCTCGTCAGACCGCTTAAAGATGAGAAGCTATACATGTATCTTGCAATTTTTAATCACTCCTTAAGCGTCGTCCTACTTGCTAAACGAGACAGCCATCAGATCCATGTGTATTTCATCAGCCATGTGTTGCACAATGCCAAGATTAGGCATGAAATGAGTGATTTTGGCTTAAAACATTTTAGGAAAGGTTACAAATGGTCAAGGTTAAAGGGAGCTTCACGAGACTCTTCAACTCTTCACCTAACTCGATAATCAAAGACATGAAAGGTACTCATCACTAGGTTTGGTTTTTGGGGAGACACAATCAGGTGTCTACAGTAAGCCACCTCACAGATGGGAAACATCATGGAGAACGCTTCATAAAAACGGCACTTCAGCCTCTCCTAGGCCACATGCACAAGTTGGACCGCTTTCTGAGGGTCGATCGATCGTGGCGCTTTGAGCTGCTCGGTCAAGTCCGCAATAGACTTGAGGGAGTCCACTTGGTCCAGAGTCGCCTGAAGAGCGTGGAAGCTGGATCCAGCTCGGCCTTCAGCTTCTCAAAGGCTTTGAAGCCCTCCTTCCACTAAGAAGCGTTAGCGACCACCTCGTCCCTTTCCTTTTGAAGGGCCTCCTGAGCAAGTCGCTCCTGCCTAAGGGCATTGCCCATTATGACGATGTCCTCATTCTGTTTGCCTGACTTCTCGGATAGTGCGTTGAGGGCGGCTTTGTGCCGAATTTCCTGCATTGCCAGCAGGCCGGTGTTCTCACCCTGGACCTTCTTGATCATGTTCCAAGCAGCCTTGATCTTCTCCAGCTCCTTAGAGCGTTAATCCAGGAAGGCGATGATTCTAAGGAAGAGCTGCATTCGGACAGAAACAAGTTAGTAAAAGCGAAAACGTGAAAATAAACTAAGTGCCAAACCTTAGTAAAAGTATAGTTACCTCGGCACTGCAGTTAAGCATGGGACTAAGGAAGCCCTCGTCAATTCCGCGAAACTTTTCCCGCTACTCCTGAGGGACGGCCCGTAACATGGCCTCCCTAATTGCTTTTCGGTCAGCACTAGTAAGCGACTGGCCGGGTAGCCGCATGTTCATCTATTCAACAAAATCTGTACCAACCATGAAGAAAGTTAGATTACTGAAATCGAAGTACATGTACTAAACATGCAAATGCCATGTATACGTTCCGAAAAGGATGGAGAAGATGGTACACGAAACTCGGCCGAATGAGTATGCTGCGGTTGATCCCTAATTTCTTGGGGTTGACTTTGCTGCTCATCGGCCGCCTGAGAGGGTTGTTGTCCCAGCCACTCAGGCCTTGTGATGACCTCGACATGCAGAGTCGAGGCAATGTTGTCGGTCGTTTTGTGAGGGGACGACTTTCCTCCTTTGCCTATGCGGACGGTCTCATCATGGGCCACTTCAGCTTGCGGATCCATGGACTTGGAGCCCCCACTCGGTGTCAGTTGGGGTTGTTCTCCTTTAGACTGCTTAGAAGCAGTCTGCGGCTTCGTCTTGGCCGCCTGGGGGGGGAGACTTAGCCTTGGCGGCTACAGTCTTCCGAGACTTGGACGTCTGGCCATCCTTGGAAGCAGAGGCTGGCTGTTTCCACTTTGTCCTAGGAGTGGAAGCCTAAAAAATAGAGAAATTGGCCAAGTAAGAAATTATGTCCGAGTAAAATTAGGAAGGATACCTCTCCTAACAAGTTACAAAAATCTTTGAACGTGCAAGTCACAAGGTTCCACCTTGGGGATAGTTCCGGTACTAGCCGTAGGCCGACATGAACAGACACGGACTTCCCATCCCTGATCACTTTTTTTTATCTTGAAATAATTAAGTTAGAACTCATTGTTAGGATGGACGGGTGGCTTGGTGGGCTTATGATTCCCCCGTCCGAGCTGAATATGCTCGGCATTGAAGCGATTCCTTCGCAAGTTGAATTCCACATCTTTGGTTTTAATGCGGTAGAATCAGTGCTTCCAGCCACGCCACTTGGATGGCTTGTGCATAACTACCAAGTAATCTTTGTGGGTATTCAAAACTAGTCATTCGTCCGTCTCTGCATCCAGCTGCACCATAGAGTGCATCTCGCAGAAGACCGAGACGTCAGGGGTCATGCCTTGCCTAAGGCACGTCACCAAGTAGCCGAATATGTTTACCCAGCTGTTCGGCACCAGCTGAAAAATGGCAATATTATATTCGTCTAGTAGATTCTGGACAAACGGATGTGACGGGAAACGGAGTCCCACCTCCAAGGCCGCTAGGTAAACACTGAAACATTTCCTCCTTTGTGACTTGCCTTCCCAGGCAGCCACCAAGTATGAACGCCTTGGGGCCACTATGTGGTAACCCCTTTCAAGTTTGAGGAATTCCTTTAACTCCTTGAATTTATTGTTCAGAAAGCCTGGAACCACATTGCCGACAATACAGGCGTATGGGTCTTTGAAATTTATGGCATTGGGCTCCTCGGCCACTTGATCAGCGTCCAGATTCTCAGCTTCTTGCTCAGCCGCTTGAGGTTCCGGGGCCCTAACCGAACCAAACTCTGAAGACAGCACCGTGTCCAGAGTAGCGGCCTCGGCCGAACTCCCCCCTGGAGCCTTGGCCGACCTTAGTAACAACGGTGCCCCTCAGGCACCAAGGGTCTTTTTCCCTTATCTTTCTTCTCTCCTTCAGCGGCAGCCTGATTTCCAGAAGTAGGGGCGTTGCGAGGGGTCAAGTCAAACGGTTCAGAGATATGGATCCCAGTGCGTGGCCTGGCCGATCTAATATTTTGTGTTGAGGGTTGTTGGGGATTTTGGTCGGATGACCCCCCCTCGGCCAGACCTTGCGTCCGCTTGAGATGTGGAAGGATGCCTCTCAGAAGATAGCAGTTCGGACGGCATCAGGACCGAGCTGGTGTATTGTGAAAGGCATTGTAACGGATTTTGTCTGGAAGCCACAATTTCTCCTCCCCTAGTCCGTTTAGAAGAAGACTGGGAAGTTGTACTTTGCTGGACTTGTTGCCCGAATAAGGAGGTAGTTACCTCCACTACTGAACATGCACTACCACTGAATGTAGCGTTCGTATTCTCCCTGTCTGTATTATCGAGATTACAGGGGACTAGAGGGTCGACCATACTGTTGTCCAAGTTTCTTTCGGCATTACGCTCGTACGTTTGTCTCGTACGCGCCATGTTCGACTGTAGGGATATAGAACAATAGGTGGGGGTGAGTTGGTACGCACAAAAAAAGAACCCACTCCAAAGAGAGGAAGAGTCGGCTTCGTCCACTCTAGATTCCTCAAGCGAACGACCGACCTCATAAGGAGAAACAGACGAATTCGAGTGTTGTGTCAATTCGTGTTTAAAAATAAAAGCAAGAATGGAAAAGGAAAAAATAAAAAGAAGCAGATGGTTACCTCTGTACGAGTAGAAAACTTGAGGAACTTTGAAAATCTTGATAAAGTGACCGGCAAATTCAAGAAACTCAAACGGAAAACTTAAGTTCACGGCGGAGCTCTCGAAGATTTGGGAGGAAAAGTCACTTTCTCTCTCTAAAAACTCCAACTTCTCTCTAGAAAACACAAAATCCAAAGTGTTTTTATGAATTCAAACAAGTTCTATTTATAGGTAAAATTTATGGGGGCAAAATGGTAAAATTACCTTTCCGGCCTAGAAGCTCAAACAGCTCGTTTTGAAAAACCTAACCTAGAAGCTCAAACGGTTAATTAAACCGTTCCGTTAATAAATACGGGGAAGATGTATGGTTACTTAAACATCACGTCAAAATAGACGGCTAAATCAGCGAATCCGAACCGTTACTCTGGAAAATGCAAAGGACAGATTTCTCACCTGATTACAAGTGTAACACCCCGACCCCTAACAAATTAGGAGAGGCATATTGTCACGAAATGCGCATCAAGGGCTAACAATTATCCCCACAGACCAACATAAGC